CTAATGGGACTGAACATGCAAATCACACACAACTATTATAGGTAACTAAAACTAGAATCAAAATCAAAAAGTAAAATAAACATTAAAAAACATATTTTATTTCTGCTAGTTGCCAAAGCAACATTTCTCATTTTAATTTAAATGAGAAATGTACTAAAACTAAAACTGAAATAAAAAATAATCAACTATAGACATATTCAAACAAGATTAATTAAACTTTAACTAAACGAAATTAAAAAGAAAATGGAAAATATAAATAAAAACAAATTCAAAAATCAGTGACATAAAATAACACTAAAGGAACAGTGCAGTGTCAATACCATTTCATTTTTCTCTTCACTTTTTTATTTTACTGTGGCTACTTTATAATTAACTTTCAGAAATAATGTTCAAAAATTGTACCTTTAGAGGTACAAAAGCTTGCGGGGCAGTAACCTTAAAAGTACACCTTTGTTCCTTCTTTACCCCTAAAGGGTGCAAGAGTACACTACTTCATTAAGGGTACCTATCATGTACTAATATCATGTGCTGCTACTAACAACTCCGTTAAAACACAGTTAGGTTTCTTAAGTAATAACCTAAACAGTCATGCAAAAAATCTTGGGAGTCCATTTTGATCCTCTCCTCCAATTCTGACAAGCATGTAAATGCAGTTGTAAAGAGTAGCTTTTTTCATCTCAGATCAGTGGCAAAAGTGAAGCACTTTCTTTCTAGAAAAGAAACTAGTACTAATTTCCTCTCGATTGGATTACTGTAACTCTTTGTACATTGGCTTACCTCAATCGACACTGTCTCGGTTACAGACGGTTCAAAATGCAGCAGCCAGATTCTTAACAGGAACTAAGAAAAGGGATCATATCTCCCCTGTCCTTGCCTCATTGCACTGGCTCCCTATAAAATTTAGAGTTGACTTTAAGATCCTTCTATTTGCATATATAGGCATTGCATAATTCTGGCCCGGGTTATATTTGTGAACTTATTAGGCCTTATACGGCCTCTAGGTCATTAAGATCGTGTGATCAGTTACTTTTAACTGTCCCCCGTTCTTGTTGTAAAACAAAAGGTGACCGAGCTTTCTCAGTGGTTGCCCCAAAGCTGTGGAACAGTCCACCTTTGACCATCAGAGCTTCTCCATCACTGGATGCTTTTAAATCCAGCTTAAAGACTTATTTTTACTCTCTAGCATTTGAGTGATGCTGTACACTCTTAAAAATAAAGGTGCTTCACGATGCCATAGAAGAACCTTTTTGTCTAAATGGTTCCATAAAGAACCTTTAACATCTGAAGAACCTTTCTGTTTCACAAAAGCTTCTTTGTGGCGAAATAAGGTTCTTCAGATTACAAAAACGTAAGAAAGAGATGGTTCTTTAAAGAACCTTTGACTGAATGGTTCTTTGTGGAACCAAAAATGGTTCTTCTATGGCATCGCTTGAAGAACCTTTTGAAGCACCTTTATTTTTAAGAGTGTATGTGTACTTTAAATAGTTGAATTGGTGTTAAATGTTGTTTTATGTATTTACATTTTAATTGTTTTTGATACTTGTTTTATTTTCCTTTGTCTTTTTCTTTTTCTCTCTCTTTTAAATTTAGATTTATGTTTTATTGTGAAGCACTTTGGATCAACTACGGTTGTGTTCAACTTAAATTTGCCTTGCCTTGCCTAATATGCACCCTTTAATGATAAAGAAGGTCCAAATGTGTACTTTCAAGGGTACTGACCCACAAGCTTTTGTACCCCTAAAAGTACAATATTTGCGCCTTTTTTTTCTTTTTTTACTTTTTGATGCCATAAAACCTCAAATATGATGATCCATTTGTGAGGACCTCTTTCCTAAAATATATGTTCACGTAAAAGGACACACAAATACTTCTAAAATATTATTCAGAATTTGTATAATTAAAATATGGTGTGGACACAACACCTTAGTTTTTACAGTTGGCTAACCTGGCAAATTCTGTACTAAAGGACAGGGTGGCATCATGGCGCTCTTATATAACTTACAGGGTCAGTGGACCACATTTGGAGAACAGGCCGAAAAATAAATGATGTGGTTTAGAGAGTATCGCTTTACGTAAGCCGTCTCACACCCTTGACCTGGTCGGATGGTGGCTTGTTCAGAGACGAGGATCTGGTAAAACACAGGCTTTAACAGATTAATAATGTGCATCATTATCGGAAACGCCAGGCACTGAGTAATAGGGTGGATATTTTAGCACATCTGTTCAGCACAGGAATGTCTTCCACTAACAGAGACCTTAATCGCAGGTAAGTGGTCCTCCAGCCCTGTTTTCACTGCATGCTTTTCATTTCTCATTTTTCACTGCTTCACGTTCTTCCTCATCATTACTGATTAGAGGTTAATCTGCCACACTATGCTGAGATTACGAGCCAGCTGTGTAGTCATTTTCCAATTTTTAACCGCACATGAATGGACGCGCTTCCGCTCCTCGCGTCGCCCTCTACCGGCGGAACGGAGACTCGCGGGATCCCGTGCCATCGCATCTGGCGAGTCTCCTCGGTACTCGGCTGATGTCAGAGCCTCGCCTCGCCTCGCCTCCACAACCACGTGCTCCGTATAAAGCCGGCAGTCCAGGGCTGGCGGGGGAAGACAGACAGTAGCGCTGGCAGCATCAGAGATCCGTCAAGCCGTTTGCTGCTGGGAGATCAGCGCTTTGCAATAAGACACAGGCTTAACCGAAGGAATACATTCCTCCTGTGGATTTATATACTTGTAATAACAGTGATGGCAGTTACTCAGGCTGAATGCGACTTGACATACTGCAGGATGAGGGGCATCGTGTCCGTTCTTACCGGTACGTCTCAACAGATTTGAGTTATTCTGGTGTCTAATAGATTTCGTTTGCATATGTTTTTTTTTGTTTGTTTGTTTGTTTGTTTTTTTGGTTGGGGGTATGCAATATGTCAAATATGTGAAAAGGAAAAAACTAATGAAATCTATGCTTTTTAGGGGTGTAAAAGACGTTTTTTGTGTGTGCTGTACAGTCAATTTTTAGACATAATGTTACAATTATTATTATTAGCTAATTGCATTTAATATACAAGTAAACTATAATACAATTGCAGTTAACATGCAATTAAGTATTCTAAAAACATTACATTAAGTTCACATTTAAGTATATTCTTTTATTTTTATATAAAGTTCTCTTTTTTTCTTTTTCAACAGTACTTGGCTCCCGAGGTGCTTCAGAAACAGGCATATGATCATGCAGTGGACTGGTGGTGCCTGGGATCAGTGCTCTTTGAGATGCTGTATGGACTGGTGAGGAAGACCTATCAAGTCTTTTGCCTGAAATACTAACTAGATCAACTGTAGCAAAGAATATATTTTGCAAACATACTTATTCCTCACCTTAGTTTTGATGTTTAATTTGCAATGCGTTGATTTTGCTTATTGTTCACACAGGGATCTGCACCAGCATCTTCGCAAACCTTCATAGAACAAGTAATTTGGAAAATGGATGGATGAGAGGAATCTTTTGTACTGTATATACATAAAACAACTATCTAGTTGGAGATGTTGAAGAGGGTAGTGGGTTGCTGCTCATTAAGACCCAAGTTTGAGTCTTATTTATGTTTTTTTAAAATTCTTAATTTTTTATTTTATTTATCAAAAATAGATGTTTTATTTATTTGATCAAAAATACAGCAAAAACAGTAATATTGTGAAATATTATTACAACTTCAAATAACAATTTTATATATATATATTAAAATGCAATTTATTCCTGTGCTGCAACTGAATTTTCAGCACTCCAGTTTTTAGTGTCACATAATCCTTCAGAAAACATGCTAATATGCTGATTACTGTTGGCTAGATATTGTTCCTTCTTGTCTTTTAATTCAGGTTTTGAATGTTGTCTCTGTCAACAGTGAATATGAGTTTAATAGATTATATTTTTATATGTATCATATTTTGTTATATTTTAAGATATATAATATAGATCTCAAAATTGGCAAAATTCCTATAGCTAAAATACTGGAGAAGTTTGTTTATAATGAGCTTTCTAAATTTTAAAGTAAGATTTTTGACAAATTTTAATCAGGTTTTAGATCAAAACACAGCACAGAAACGGATCGTTTCAAAGTGGCTAATGATTTGTTGATGTTGGTAGATTAAGGGAACTGTGCTATTTTAGTGCTGTTTGATCTCAGTTTTTTGACATGGTGGACCATGAGATTCTTCTTGCCCACTTAAATCAGAGGGAGAAGCTTGCATTAAAGTGATTCTTTCTTATTTAAAGGAGCTTTATCTTCGTTGCCCCGTCTCCTTTGGGGTTCCTCAGGGTTCTATATTTGGCCCTGTTTTCTTTATGTATGCTTCCATTGGGATTAATTTGTCAATGTTGCATATTATTGCTGTGCGGATGACAGCTGTATCAACCTTTAAAGTGTAAAAATAACTCCAAACTAATGTCTCTGCTAGGTTGTTTGGACGACATTAAGAGATGGATGGCTCTTATATCCTTCAGTTTAATGATTCAAAATCTGAAGTGGTGGTATTTGGCCCAACAATTAATTAACCATCTTAGTCCTCTAGCCACTAATTTAAATATTCAGGAGGAAACTAAGGGCTATTACTAAAATACTATTATTATGATTATTTATGTTTTTTTCTTTTTTTTAAGATATAGAAAGTGTTATTCATGCTTTGTTTCGTATAGACTGGATTATTGTAATAGCTATAATTGGGGCAAACAAATTGCATTCATGTTTACAGTTAGTGCGAAATGCAGCGTCACATTTAATTAATTTAATCGTTCTTTCTTTTTTTTTTTAGGAATACAAATCTTACTGACCACAAACAAAAAGTGGGGGTTACTAAAGTCAGTTTATCATAGTATGATATATTGACGATGGCCTCAGTAGTCATCTCTTATGTCTGCAATAACTACAACGTTTTAGCGGGAAAAAAATCCATGTTAATATATATATATATATTTTTTGCAAGGGGTAAACTGATTTGAAGGAACGTCTAGATTCTGCGCATGCGCGTTGCGAATTGTGGCGACTTCCTGCCAAATAGTTGTCCCTAACAACACACAGCACCTCACCGAGGGAATTTCAGTTCAAGGAAACATAAAGTTTCCTCGGAAGTAGCACTTGGTGACATGGTAAGAGTTTCTTTCCCATCTGTGTGGCGTCCACTGTGCATTTGAGCGCTATGATGAACGGTTTAGTGTGTAATGGTAAGGTCAGTGAGCCGTGAGCTAAATAACACACGTTGGCTAACTGGTCAAACTGTGCTAAACGAGTAACGTTACATTAACAAAGCTACCACTGGAAAACGGCTTAAGTTGTGTCCACTTATAGTATGTACGTCAGCAGTGAAATGCATGTTTCCAAAGATGAACACAGTTAATGTGTGTGGTATCTTGGACATCTTCGGTGAACTAGCCACAGTTTTGAAGAGAAACGCTGGATGTGTCTCAAACCCCACCGAGCCTCCTACCTGGGCTGTACTTTTCGGTGTCATGGGAGCAAGACTTTGTTTATATAGCGTCTGAAATAGAGTCTGAAAGCAATGTTGGATCCTCAACTTCATTGGTCACCCGTCCTTGAGTCACTGCTGTTCAGTGTTTTAAATTTACATTGCTTCAGCCTCTGCCATTGAGAGTCTCCAGCTAAGTTATTGTGTTTTGTTTGATAGGCTAATTCTGTACTGACTGTACACTTTCATGCAAACACATCCACCAACTCCTAGTTGAGCTGAGCTGACCTGTCCTATATATATTTATATCTGACTTAGATTTGATAAATCTTTTATGTATGTGTATGTGTACCTAAACATAAATGATTTCTGAAGGAACATGTGACACTGAAGACTGGAGTAATGATGCTTAAAATTCAGCTTTGATCACAGGAATAAATGACACACACACACACAGATATGTGACGTGTGTGTGTGTGTGTGTGTATATATATATATTAGGCTTGCCTCGATTGACAGTGATACCGTTGTTAAGCCGCAACACCGGTTACGTCACCGACCCCCACCGTCGTTTAGATTTTTTTATAGTAATACAAATCATTTAGTTCAGTAAAAGAACAGACACTACAATTAAAAACTGAATGTGGCTGCTCAATGCAGTTGAACGACAGTTGCATCACAGATCAGATTTATTTCTCCAGTGAGGAGAGTGAGTCGAGCTGACGGACAAGAAGAGTGAGGTGAGACAGACAAGACGAGTGGGGTGAGACGGACGAGACGAGTGGGGTGAGACGGACGAGACGAGTGGGGTGAGACGGACAAGACGAGTGGGGTGAGACGGAGTTTGACGTTGTATTTTGGGAAGTGGGAAGTCGTGGCCTAATGGTTAGAGAGTCGGACTCATAACCCAAAGGTTGTGGGTTCGAGTCTCGTACCGGCAGGGATTGTAGGTGGGGGGAGTGAATGTACAGCACTCTCTCTCACCTGCAATACCACGACTGAGGTGCCCTTGAGCAAGGCACCGAACCCCAACTGCTCCCCGGGCGCCGCAGCATAAATGGCTGCCCACTGCTCCGGGTGTGTGTTCACGGTTTGTGTGTGTTCACTGCTGTGTGTGTGCACTTTGGATGGGTAAATGCAGAGCACTAATTCCGAGTATGGGTCACCATACTTGGCCACACGTCACTTCACATTCTTCACATTCTTTTGTTGTTGCATTCAAGCAATTGACGCCTAACTGCTGCTCATTCTAAGTGAAAGTAAAATGCCACTTAAGCTATTTGAAAGCGAGAAAAAGAGCGAAAATTCAAACGAACTAAAAACGAACAATTGCTTTACTCCGAATTGTCGCTATTTGAAAGTGAAAGTAAAATGCGCTGGCTGCTTTAAAGCTATTTAAAAGCGAAGGAAAGCGAGGAAAAGAGGGAATGCCCCTGCCCCCACAGTGATACCGGTATTACTGGTGTTGTCACACGTCGATTAACCGGTGGGAAAATTTCCTCACTGTCACAACCCTAATATATATACAGGTGCATCTAAAAAATTTCACTAATTTCAAAAAGTGAAACTTTCATATATTCTACATTCATTACATGTAAAGTAAAACATTTAAAACATTTTTTTTTGTTTGTTTTAATTTTGATGATTAGAGCTTACAGCTCATGAAAGTCAGAAATCCAGTCAAATCCAATCAAAATATTAGAATATTTCCTAAGATCAATCAAAAAATGGATGTGCAAAACAGAAAAGTTCAAGTTCTTCAAAGTATGTTCATTTATGCACTCATTACTTGGTCGGGGCTCCTTTAGCACAAATGACAGCATCAGTGAGTGTGGCATAAAAGCGATCAGCCTGTGGCTCTGCTGAGGCACTATTGAGCCTTCAGCTCGTCTGTATTGTTGGATCGACTGTTTCTCATCTTTCTCTTGAAAATATCCCATAGATTCCATATGGGGTTCAGGTCAGGCATGTTGGCTGGCCAATCAAGCGCAGTTATATTATGGTCAGCAAACCACTTGGAAGTAGTTTTGGGACTGGGCAGGTGCTAAGTCCTGCTGGAAAAGGAAATCAGCATCTCCATAAAGCTTGTCAGCAGATGAAAGCATAAAGTGCTCCAAAATCTCCTGGTAGATGGCTGTGTTGACTGTGGACTTCAGAAAGCACAATGGGCCAACACCAGCAGACGTCACGGCACCCCAAATCATCACTAACTTCAGAAACTTCACACTGGACTTCAAGCAGCTTGGATTCTGTGCCTCTACAGTCTTCCGCTAGACTCCAGACCTTGATTTTCAAATGAAATGCAAAATTTACTTTTATCTGAAAAGAGGACCTCTGAGCAACAGTCCAGTTCTTTTTCTCCTTAGCCCAGGTAAGATGCTTCTGACGTTGTTTCTGTTTCAGTAGTGGCTTGGTAGCCCTTTTCTGGAAGACGTCTGAGCGTGGTGACTCTTGATGCACTGACTCCAGCTTCAGTCCACTCCTTGTGAATCTCTCTCAAGTGTTTGAATCGGCTTTGCTTGACAGTATTCTCAAGCTTGCAGTCATCTTTGTTGCTTGTGCACCTTTTCCTATCCAATTTCTTCCTTCGTGTCAACTATGCATTTAATATGCTTTGATACAGCACTCAGTGAACAGCCACCCCTTTCAGTAATGACCTTCTGTGACTTACCCTCTTTGTGGAGGGTGTCAGTGATTGTCTTCTGGACCATTGCCAAGTCAGCAGTCTTCCCAATTATTGTGGTTTCAAAGAATAAGAGATATCTGGAATTTATACTGTAGGGATGGTCATTTAATGAAACTCAAATGTAAATATTCTAATATTTTGAGGTACTGGATTTTTGACTTTCATGAGCTGTAAGCTCTTATCAAAAAAAAAACTTTTGAAATGTTTTACTTTACATGTAATGAATCTAGAATATATGAAAGTTTCACTTTTTGAAATAAGTTACAAAAAATAATAAAAAGACTGAAAGAACCTTTCAGTCAACAGATCTTTGACTTATCAACCCTCTACATTGCGAGTAAATCACTCGCATATGCGACAATCTTCACTCTGGGCGACTAAATGATTAAATGAATATTAGCTAATGGCTAATAAATTCTTAGATTTTACTCGCCAGTGTAGCACAGATATATTTTTGCTCACCGAACACACTGACTGAGCGACTCTCCGTCGCTTTGGTGAGAGCAGAGAGAGAGCGTGATAGTCTTACATGGGTCAAAGACGTTAAGATATCCGCATCAAAAGAAATTTACTAAAGTGATTTTATATCCATAGAAAGCACGTTAAATGTAAGTAAAGTGTCTACTTTTAAGGTTTCAAATAAGTTTTTGGAGAATAAAATGTCAAAATTTGGTTGAAATAATGTTACATTGTCATTCAGTGTAACAATATGTATGTAAAAATTCAAACAACATGCTTATTCTGACTTGTGCATATTAAAATATATAAAAAATCCTGTCATTCATTCAGCATTTATCATGGCCATACGCGCAATGCTCAGGTGAAATGCTATAGTAATACTATAAATCTGCGAAATCATCTGATATCACGCATAAGGCGCCATGATTTCTGCAATGAATGAATGGCGGATGGTGCGGCGCACTTTTTTGTTTACTACACACATACTAAAGCGCGGATGACGCTCGCGGTGCTTTCAGGTTCTGCCGTCTCACTATATGATGATATGAACACGAATGTCATCTCCAGCTGCTCTGAGAGTCACTTCATTAGCATTTACTGTTTCATTACAAAACTACCGTCATATCACATACACAGCAACTGCAAGTTCTTCACAGCAACCCATCAAAATAAAAGTTTAGTTTAACGTTCTACTGTCAGAATATATTACTATTTAGAGGTCTTAAGACTCAATTCTACTACTGCTAATAAATAATTAATAAATCTTTATTTTTAAAGGAATAATCACATCTGTTTTCTTTTTCATTTTAACCGTAAACCTTAACCACTTTGTTTGCCAAAAAATAAAAGGGTTTTATTTTCATTTGATTAGGATAAAGTAAATTAATGTTTTATGCCTTCATCTGATTACCAGAAAAATTAAGAACATTTTATAGGGCCCTATTATTGTTTAAAAAAGGACCCTATACAAAAAAAAGAATAGGTTTAAAAAACAGGCATGTGGTTCTTAATTTCTTTTTATTAATTCATCATTTGTAAATGATGTTTACTGTTAATTTTTTAGAAATATCAATAGCATTTGTATTAAAACTATATTCACTGAATGTAATCAAAAATATCGAGAATCGAATCGAGAGCTTGCGTATCGAAAGCTGAAAGCGTATCGAAAGCTGTTGGATCGCGCCGGTGCCTCACGCGTACACTATATATGCCACTGCATTCATTGGAAACTGAACAGCCGTTCACCGTGCCGTTCGGCATGAGCACCAGTCCACTGTTGCATATTTTTGCTCATTATTATATTTTTCAGTCTGAAGGTATTTTTCAGGTGAACTTTTGAAAATGTGTTTTTTAAAACTATACCACTATTGTCTGTGTGTAAAGTGCAAAAATGCGAATTTGTGAAAACGGTGATGTCACGCAAATGTATTACGTGTTCGCGTAGTGTTTTTTCACAAAGTGACATTGCCAACTACTGGCCTGGCATGAATAATACAGCATTTTAAGTAATTTTTGCGGATCCTTGTGAACAGGGATCGTTTTGACAGCGTTGTTATCTGTACGTGAAAAACGAAAAGGAAAAAATTAGCACATTGTTTTTGTGAAAACCTTAACGCAGTGGGTGTTTTTTTTAGACTTTTCATGAAATTAACAGAATTTTAAAATGTATAAAGTTTTCCTCCATTTGCACAAATATAACAGCGTTAATTAAAAATGTAATCTAGAAAAACAAATAAAAATGTAATGAATTGAAATGCATACTTTTGAACCTTGAACCCAAATTATTTCAATTTGCCAGCTCTTTTTTTGCAACCAAAGTGTAAATTAGAGATGCTCTCGTACTCAAAATTGGTGAGACCGAGAAATCACATCAATATTCAAAATGTGGCTCTGCTCTATTTCATTCCTATCTGTAGAGGATTAAAGACAATATTTTGAGAAATGTCTCAGTCAGTGGTCTCCAATGTTCTTTTGTAAGAGTGAAAAAAAAAGAAAATAATATTTAGTCATAAGCAGGTTTGGAGCGACAAGATGGTAAATAAATGATGACAGAATTGACATCTTTGAGTGAACTATCCTTTCAAAGATGGTCTATGTAGGTTGACTGAAATGAGATGTTTTAATCTTTGGTTACTTGTCTTTTTTTATCACATTTTCCATCCACATTAAAGTTGTTTTTCATACCCTGATCACGTTCCTGAGATATCAAGCTGGGCGTTGCATAAGCATCGCTCGGCTACACGTGATTTACTAAACATTGTAATCTCACGTTTATGTGAATGAAGCGTCTGCAAAATTGTCTCAAGTGTAAGCGAGCGTCTGACCCGTTTTCTCTCTTTCCTGCTTCATATTCCAATTATATAAATGCAGTTTAAAGAAGGCACGGGGTGAATAAAATTAGGTTAGATCTTATCCTCGCCCACCCTTTGGATGTGACAGCTTGCACAGAAACACCTAATGCCTTTGATATAATCAGGAAAGAATACAAGCTTCCTTGTTTTCACCAAATGTAGGTTAGTATACATGTAAGGAGACGCGGCCATATAATCCAGGCATGTGTGCTCTAAAGTGGGAGGGTTCGGGGGAAACATCTGGTGCTTTTGTGGGGGAGCCTCACGTGCCTCACCTGCCGGGCTGAGCTTGCCTGCTACCAGGGTGACTGTGGGATTAGAACCCGCAAGACCCAGTTTTCCCTTGACTTTCCCATAATGCTCAGCTCCTCGAACGCACATGCACACACCTGACAAGGATCAGCCCCAGCGAGGTGGAAAGGCAGGGGCTGGAGGAGCATATATAAAGATGTCTCACCGTGTTGACTTGTGTCTTTCACGCAGGGCCTTAGCCAAAGCAGAAGCAGCAGATACTGACGGCGCAGATTTACCAGGGCGGATGGTGAAGACGTCCTCTCCCACAGCCATGGACGAGTCACAAGAGGTGCCCGAGCTACCTGTGAGTACAGTGCACTTACTGACCAGTCAGGAATGAAGAAATGCTCATGTGTTGCTGACAAAAAGAATGAAATTCTTATTTTTTTGACATTGTGATATTATGTTAAAAAAGGAAAAGTGTATGAAACTGGACACTTTCTTTTCATAATGTAAATCACTTTTTAATCATTTTGATTACTTTTATAACTTGTCACTCTGAACAATGCTGCTGTCACTGCTTGAGATGTTACGCATTATGTTAAATGGTATCAGCAACTGTTAATCATTCAACACCGCGAGAGACATAACTCTTTTTTTTTTCTGTTGTTTTGATTGAATAGACAAAGAAAGCTCGACATGATCCAGAAATGAGTCAAGAGGGTAATTCACGGTAGGTCCATCAAGGTGCATTTTATATTTTCATATATAGCTAGCTTGCATATAGGCTATAGCTTAATAGTTCAGGATTGGGCTGCTAGTATAAAGGGTGAAGATGCCATTATAAGTAGTACAGATCAAGGAACTGGATATAAGATTGTAATCTTGCTTTATTGCCGTTGTGCCCTTGAGGAAGGTGAAAAAATAAGGGGAAAGAGAAAGAACAAAGAGTGTCTTGTCAGAGTGAAGTATGATTTCCTTTTGGACAATTGCCAGTCTTCAATCACACTTTATTATATTTTAGCAGAATGTCGGGAGGTTAAAAAAAAAGGCATTAGAAGGGCTGCAATCACTGCGTCTTTCAGCCACTCATGCAGAAGATCAAAGAAATTTTGAAGATGACCATTTTCAAACGTCATCTTAAAGGCTTATTTTAAGAGCTGGGTTGAAAATATTGAATTCCAGGTTTTATTCAATCTTAATTTTAACAAACCAATATCAATTCTTAAATCCCAAGATCAGTCTTGTAGTGTTTTTTGTCATTATTATATTTTTTGTTTTATTTAATAAAACTAAAATAAACCATTTTTGTTAATGTGCCTCCCATCCAATTGTTACTTTTGATATAAAATCGTTTTCATAAAATCTGCCTTATGAGTAGGGCTGCAACAAACGATTATTTTGATAATCGATGAACCTAACGATTATTAGAATGGTTAATCGACTAATCATTGATTATTTCGCTGATTAATCAGTAGACATTTATTGATTATTCAGCTTTTGCAATTAGTTAAAATATTGAGTTATACATATTCTAACAAATAAATTAAGGTATTCACTTTTGAAAGTCATATTATGTAATTACGGTTATACAATTAATTTATACAAATAAATATATTTGGCACACAAAATGAGATGGTAGAGAAACTCTCTTATTCACCATTTAATTGGCTATAAGAAAATAGCTGAATAACACATCATTCTGCCTAAAATATCTTTTGTTTTAAGTCATACGGATAAGAAACAAAATAAAGGTTAAGTGATAAGACGTTTTATTTTTTGGATAAACTAATATTCACAACATAATCTCTCTTAAAATACCTTATAGGGTTATGATAATCAAAACAGTCCTGAGCTAGATCAAGCTTTGATCTCTGCAAACTAAACTATAACTTTAATGAAATGTTTTTTTCCCCCACTGATAACATTTTTTTATAATTTGCTAGCTCCACACTGGAGAGCTGCTTTATAACAGAAAATCAAGTTGTAATTCTAACTGAAAGCAACACTGACTCTGGTTTTTCATGTTTAATAATACTGTAAAGCTATTAAATTTAAGGCTATCTGTTGCATAAAGTACTATATAAATAAACGTGACGTGACTGGACTTTACTGGAGTACTGAACTGCAGAGCTCGTGCAAACATCCACATCGCTGTAATCAGATGCATTTTAAACTGCTGCTTTCTCACTGCTGTCAGTTTTTGATGTGTTTATTTTGTTATTGAGAGGAAAGCGCACAGTATGTATATTTACATATTCATCCAAACGCTGCTCAGCAGCCTCAGGTTCGGCTGCGTTTGCTCTGAAGCACTGTCTTCTCTTGATTTGCATCAGGAGAGCTGAATTACAGTCTTGCGCCACACTGATCAAAACGCGTTATTGCAGGCTCTTACATTAGGTCATATGAGATCAAAGGACTACTCGACAACTAAAATATTTGTTGACAATTTTTTTGTCGTCGATAATGTCGACTAATTGTTTCAGCCCTACTTATGGGCAATTTAAATTTACAATCCACTAGTTGAGAGAAAAATGTACATGTATCACCAGAATAAATATTGAATTGAGATCTGAATTGAATCAAGAACTAGTGAATCAGAACCTGTTTTATATTTCCGATGTGTTGGTCTAGGGCTGCACGATAAATCAAAATGTAATCGAGGTCGCAATTCGACAGAAGCTGCGATTGTCATGCGTATCTTTCAGTGAAGCATGGTTCTGTGATCAGCAGTAAATCTCCATCCAAAGGCCAGAGGGCGCTCTCACGCTGAAACTCCAAATACGCCTCACAGAAGAAATCAGGAAATGCCTATAGCGGTAGCTGGATAAACAGAAGACTCAACTGCTTTCATTGATTCAACGTGACTAATAAACACACGACTACAGCAATATACGGTTTATCTGAGTTCTTATTATTATAATTTAAGTTATTATAATATTATATTTCAAGTTTTCCTTTCTCTTTGGAGTATTACAAGCTGATTGTGCATAGATAAGATCCCTGAAGTTGCAAAGACTAAAGTCTCAATACCAAAGAGATATTCTTTATCAAAATTAAGACTCTGCCACGCCCCCCTAAAATGGCTCGTTCTAACACGCCCCCACATATCTACCTCACTATGTGGAAATATTTGCATAATGCCGCCCAAATGTGCACGCAAAGAAAGAAGGTGTGGTTTCAGTAACCGCAGTTAGTGTTGAAGCAGCATGTCAGGGAGACACTGTGTGTTTCTAGACGAAAGCAAAAGCACTTTATTTGGCCTTCCAGAAGTAGATGCATTTAGGAATCTTTAAGATGACTTACAACAGAACAACAATGCATTTTATGGACGACCGTTTCGTGAACCTAGGAGAGGAGGTAAATCTGACTTTGCTATGACAATCTGGCGTGCGAGATCAAGAGACAGAGAGAGCGAGCGGTGTGTGTGTGTGTGTGTGTGTTTCCAGAAAGATGAAGCTGGTGATTATGGTAAGGGGCGTTACATTTCCGACGAGTGCTTGCGGTGTTCGGCCAATCACAATGCACTGGGT